ATTGAATACCAAGCTTCTAGCAAAGAGCCTTTTGTGACAAACCATATCTAAACCACAGCAAGTTACAAGTATTTATTTATATAATAAAGTAATAAAAATGTTTTTGTTAGTCCATCTAAGCCAAAGTGTTTCAGTCTTGCATAACATGAATGATGACCAAGATTTGATCCCCAGCACCAGAAAAAAAAGAAAGAGAACAAAAGAAAAAGAGTCAGAAAGAAAAACAATATGTAAGAAAACCACTCAGTGGTTCATCTCAGATTCATCTTCTTTGTGTGTGGGGGCATGGGGGTACTGGTGTTTGAACTCACTCAGGTCTTCACACTTGTGAGGCATGTACTCTACCACTTGAGCCACACTTCCATCCCTTTTTGCTGTAGTTATTTTGAAGATAGGGTCTCACTCTTTGCCCAGACTGGCCTGGACTGTGATCTTCCTACTTTACACTTCCCACTGTAGCTGCCCACCACCACACCCAGAGTTTTTGTTGCTGTTGTTGAGATGGGGTCTCATGAACTTTTCCCCCAGGCTGGCCTTGAACCATGGTCCTCCTGATCTTGGCCTCCCAAGGAATGAGGATTACAGGCACAAGCCACTGGTGCCCAGCAAAAGATTATCTTTTAAAATATATTAACCATGCATCATGTTAGGGAAAAATGTGAAGATATAAAAACTAATCTTATATTGTTCTAATCTCAAGGACAGAAGAGAAAATGCAGCTGCTGGGGATTTTAAAAAGTTAGGAAGATATATATTTCAATCTCAAAGTTTAAGTAGGAAAGAAGCAGATAAAAGAGTCAAAGCTGCAATCCTAGGTAAAGAAGATGCACCAACAGTAGACAGGCTGTTGAACACAGAGAAAGGAACAAATTACTAGGGAAAATCAATGAGTTCAACATTCAATTAGAGCCTAAGTCTAAAAAGGTATAAGAAAAAAGCTGAAGTGTTTTTTGTCCTCTCTTACACAGTGACTGAACACTTCTGCTACTTGATGGGGCGGGGGGGTTGGTTTGCTTTTCTCCTCCACACACCAAGCAATCAATTCTCCAGCAGACACCAGAGGGTGCTTTCTAATTCCTAGCACTGTCTACCTGGAAAAAGCATCAGATCCCACAGCTTGTGGGCTCAGTCCACAACACTGCCCCTACTTCAAATGCTAGTCATAAGCAGTAGGTGTCACCTACTCTTCTGACTGGCCACAAATCAGGGCTCCCACTACTCCCGCCTTGAGTTTGATTTATTAGTTAGAGTGACTCACACAACTCAGGACAACACTGTATTTATGCTTACCTGTTTGTTAATTACAACAAAGATACAGATAAAGAGCTGATGAAGGAATACATAGGGCAAGACTTGGAAGGGTCCCAAGACAGGAGCTTCTGTCCCTGTGGAGCTGGGGTACTCCATCTTCCTAGCTCTCTGATCCCACAGTTTAGAGATTTTTATGGAGGCTTTGTCACATAGCCATGATGGATTATTAACTCCATTTTCTGCCCCTCTTCCCTTTCTAGGGAATGGGGATGAGGCTGAAAGCTCTAAGCGATCATTATGGCTTGGTCTTTCTGGTGACCAGCCTCCACCAAGAGTTGCTCATTAGAACAAAAGATGTTCCTGTCAGCCAGAAAATTCCAAAGGATTTTGGGGTTTGTGTCAGGAACTGCAGTCAAAGACCAAATACTAGAACAAAACAATTTCCTGACACCCTTATCTACAAGGGCATCAGGAACTCAGTCTTGAGAATGAGACAGAGACCAAACACGGGAACAAAACACACCTAGGGCTCAAGAAATCACAAGAGGTGTTCAAACCTCTGTGCCAGGGACTGGGATTAGAGACCTTCTATAGGTATATTTCTTATTTTTTCCACACTAAGGCATCAGTGGAAAATCTACATAGACAGCATGACCCTTGAGGATTAGTGGCAGAGACATGAAGGAAGGCAAGACATCAGGAAGATCAAGGATGCCAGGCAATGCCTTGAGATTTTATTAAATTACTGAAGATGAGTTCTTGCATGCAGTTTAGAGAATTGAAGAAAGCAGGAGATTAACAAGAGAATCTCAGTGGTATAAGGTCTAAGGAGAATTTCAGGAAGGGAACAAAGGACAATACAAACAGGCTATATAGAGTGAGAATCCAGATCAGTGGGCCCCTCTGGGGCAGTAAGGTTTGAAATTGAGGAATGAAGAAGACAATGGCCAATGATCAGTTCTTAAGAACCTTAGGTGGAAGAGCGCTTGCCTGGCAAGTGCAAGGCCCTGAGTTCGGTCCCCAGCACCGAAAAAAAAAAAAAAAAAAAAGAACCTTAGGAATCCAGGAAGGGAGAGAAGCTTCAGGGAACAGCAGAAGCCAGAAAGGTTCTTTATCTTTTGGCCTTATGTTTGGTGCCTTTTCTTTCTCCATTGGAGAAGGAGGATATCAACATGATTGTTAGCTGTAAGGAAAAAATAAATAGATGAAAAAATATTAAAGTAAAAGAGAAAAGGAAGCCGGCTGCCAGTGGCTCATGCCTGCAATCCTAGCTACTGGGGAAGCTGAGATTGGGAGGATCAAGGTTCAAGGCTAGCCCAGGTAAATAGTTCACAAGACCCCATCTCCAAAACAACCAGAGAAAAATGGACTGGAGGTGTGGCTCAAGCAGTAGAGTACCTGTTTGCAAGTGCAAACCCCTGAGTTCAAGCCCCAATACCACAAAAAGAGGGAAAGAGAGAAAGGGATGAACAATGAAGCAAACAGGAGAGACTGGGACTAAGATTATAACTAGCAGGCTGAGCCTTGGGGACAATGGAATAAAAGAAGGAAGACAGAATAAGCTGTACCGTTTTTAATAGGAGGAAAAGCACACAAAGCATGGCTTTTTCAGTGAAGTATGAAGAAACATCTGGAGTGCAGATATCAGATTTAGAGTTTATATACCAGGGAAAGGACCAGAATAGATAATCGGAGACTACTGTAGAGTAGCAGTTAGAATTTTTTAATTCCCAAAGTTCTTAAAAATATAGAAAGGTAACCTTTAACCACAAACTTCCTATCTAATTAAGTGAAGTGGAAAAAATAAACCTAAGACAAATGACTCAGTGAAAGAAATACTGATGTTAAAACTTTTAGAAAACCAAAATAAAGTAGGCAAAAGGAAGGCATTCAGTCAAAGGTCGTCCATTAGACAGTTTGGGATTTTTTTATTACACGCAGGTGTTGCTTAGTCAAGCAATCCATTCACTATTAATCTTAAAAAGACCAAATCATAAAGCACTTCCAGCTCTAAGTTCCACAGGAGCAGAGCCCTGACCAGGCTTATTTGCAGCACAGCACTGGCGTAGTAGATGCTATGCAAATATTTGTTAAATACTGACGATATTTCCAAAGAAGCTACATGAATAAAATGACAGAACAAAGAGGAAACATAAAAGGTGACTGATTGTTAGCCAGATGCCAGTGGCTCACACCTCTAGCTAATTGGAAGGCTGAGATGGGAAGGATCACGGTTCAAGGCCAGCCTACGCAAACAGTTTATGAGACCCCTCCCATCTCCAAATAACCACAGCAAAATGGACTGGAGGTGTGGTTCAAGAGGTAGAGTGCCTGCTTTGCAAGCACGAAGACCTGAGTTCAAACTTCATTCCCAGAAAAAAAAAAAAAAAGGTGATTTTTATGGTTTGGATGTTAATGTTCCTCAAAATCTCATGTGTCAAAAGCTTGTCCCCAGCCGGTGGCACTACATTTATTCTCTCAGGTTTTGGAATTCAAAAGTCTGAAAGCAAGGTGGCAGCAGAGCCATGCTTCCAGGAGAGAATAAGTTACTTTTCCTTTTTTTTTTGATGCACTGGAATTTAAACTTAGAGCCTCACACTTGCTAGGCATACACTCTACCACGTGAGCCACATTTCCAGTCCTGTGTGAGTGTGTGTGTGTATTTGATGAGGGGCAGTACTGGGATTTGAATTCAGGGCCTCACACTAGGCAGGCCCGCACCAAATTGCTGTTGTTTTAAACTACCCCATTTGTGGTCCTTTGTAATGGAAACTAATAGAAGATTAGTTATATAAATTACAATCATATTAAAGAGGCTACATAATACATAACATGGACTGAAACAAACATCAACTTACCTACCACCCAGTCTTAATAAATCTTAACAGGTGGCCAGATTTACTTCAGATTTTTACTTCAAAGGAATAAAGTACTTCAGACTCGGTTGAACTTACTGCATTCTTCCTACCTCATCCCTTCCTCCCTCCCACTCAGAGGTTGGGGGAACCATTCCCAAACAATACCCAGCAGGACTTACGTGCTCAGCCTTTTCATCCACAGGAACAGCTATACACTGATTAGACTATTCTTTTACTCAGCGTATTTTTGAGCCTTACTTATTGACAAATATCATTTTGCTGGTTTTTTTTTTTTTTTTTTGGCAGCACTGGGGTTTGAACTGAGGGCCTTTTGCTTGCTACGTAGGCACTCTCCCACTTGAGCACTCCACCAGACCTTTTTTGTGACAGGTTTTGTCAAGAGAGGATCTCTCGCTAACTATTTGCCCAGGTTGGCTTAGAAATGCGATCCTCCTGAGCTCTGCCTCCTGAGTAGCTAGGATTATAGGTGTGAGCCACCAGCCTCCAGCTAGTTCATTGGTTTTAACAGCTAAAAACTATTCCTAATCTCCGTTACTCTTTAACTTTTGCCACTATGAACTTATCTTGCATCTATCTCCTTATACCTAACTAAAGTTTCCCCCAAATAGTCCTAAAAAGGAGACTACTGGATGCCCTTTTTAAAAAAAAGAAAAAAAACCCAAAACCTGTTTTCCATAGGAAAATAACCTTTTAGAGATAGGACTATTTCCGTAATTAACAAAAGCTTCTAACTAAAGACAGCCTTAAGATACTTTCTGTGGGAAAATATTGCATTCTATATTAAATTATGGTTTATATTTAAATCATCCTGAAGTACACATTATCAAAGACATTTGAAATAAAAAATACAGCTCATTAATGAGAAATTACCTGCATGATATTTTTAGAAGACATAATTGCCTGATTGTAGAATATGCGGCCAAAGTGATCTCGATCTGGAAATATTTCTGCTTGCCGAGGTAGGTTGGCCCCTCCTGAATCAACTGAACATGTGAAAAATGAGAAAAATACGTACATCACTAAGAATAAAATACGCTATATACAGGGAGACTTGTATCAATGACACCATAGATTCGTAAAACACCTTGCCCTTACTTTCTAAACTCTAGAGTTTAGAAAGTTTAGTTTCTCCAACTCCCCAGTCAAAGGACTCATTTGGTTTCTCCAAACGCTTTAGGCTTTCCTCTCTGCAAAATTCTACATGAATTGTTTAGGACATTCATTGAAAGACCCAGAAACACCATAAATTCTTAACCAATTGAACTGAACTAAAAAGTATCTTTTTCTCTTCTAAACCAATACAAAAACCATCTATAGAATTCATGTGATAATTTATTACATATTGCTTTCTGATATTGTTTTTATTAAAGACTAAAGTGGTAGACAAGAGTGCCAGCCACCACTTGGGAGGCTAAGGCAGGAGGATCATGAATTTGAGGCCAGCCTGGACTCCATGGCAACTCCAAGGCCAACTTGAGTCATATAGTGAAACCTTGTTTCAAAAAAAGGAAGAAAGAGAGGGAAGGGGGGAGAGAGTAAGAAAGAGAGGAAGGGAGGGAGGGAGGGAGATTGCCAGTCAAGTTCTAAACTCGTTACTCGCACTTGTTACTTCCTAGCTGTGTGATTATAGGCATATTTTCTTACCAGTGAAATGAAGATAGCAGTAGCTATACCATGGAGTTTTTATCATGAGGACATGAAATAACACATGCAAAGCACTTAGCTCAGCACTTGCTCTGAATACACATAGCAAAGGTTAAAAAGAAATGCTCAGAAGTCCTATACCTATCGTTGCTGCCTATAGCCATGAAGTCTTCCGTCATGATTTAACCCTATTATGTCCTGTCGCCCATCAATTATGGGCTTATGGAAGACAGAGATCACGTAGTACTTGTGGAGTGTCTACACAGCATGTGCAAGCAGCTGGACCTCATTTGTTCTTTTCTTTTTTCTTTTATTGTGGTACTGGGGATTGAACACAGGGATTCACAAAGAAGTTCACTTTGTGAGTCAACCAGGTAACTCACTTTCCCAGAAAAAGAAAAAAAGTCAACATCACCACCTGTTCAAATGCTTGCATAAAAGAACAGTATGTATTGAGAGTTTTAGCAGACTAAACCAATATCCAGGAGGTGATAATGTTAAGCAACTTTGCTTTTAGGTACTTTTCAAAACATCCTTCATTTAAATGCATTTTAATTTCAAATGTAAGTTTACTTTCACTGGAAAATTAAATTTCCCTAAAATTACATCTGCTCAAATGATATAAATCTCAAGCATTTAACATGGCAGCTGGCGCTTAAAAGCTATTCTTTTTGTATAGCTTGAACCTGTTATGGTTAACAGAAAAACAAAACGTGCAGAGGGGAAAAATGTCTACATATGCATGGAGAAAAACCTGACACTCACCAAAATATCATTTCTCAGTGTTATAGTATAACTAGGTCATTGCTACTTCTTCCGAGTTTACAGCAAAAACCATGCACTTTCTTTCTAATCACGGGAGAGTCAGCAATATCTGAAAACACCTGCAGCATCACACGGTCTTACACTTTCCCAGCTAATAACAGTTTAGTGCACAACTTGCAACTAACCCAGGTAGATGCAGGGGAGCCTGTTCTGTAGCGCAACTTCCTGTGCCCGTAGGTGTTTTTTCACAGTTATTGGATAGTAAGTGCCTCCCTTGACAGTGGCATCATTGGCGACAATCATGCATTCTATTCTGAAAGGCAGAAATTTCATTGGGAGGAGAATGAGAGGTTTCTTCAAAAGTAAAAGCCCATCACAGTTCATTACAAGACATTTAACACAACCTTCAATGTCTAGTACACACATCACTAATGGCACTCATGAGCAGATTGTCTCACAATATCAAAGCAAGCTCTAATCGTGGCTCACACATTATAAAATGATTGCTTTTAACAAGTTTTCAAACTCATACTTGATTTTTAAAGTCATCAGTCCTGTATTAGTAATGAAAAACTAACAAGTAAAGCGACAGCTGAATGAAAGGATCCTAATGAGACAATATTAACACCCAAAACAAAAGTAATTGAGGGTAAGAAACTTCCTTATTACAAATCTCCAAGGTTTCCTTTTAGTGCAGGGCACTGGTGGTTCATGCCTGTAATACTAACTACTCAGGGCAGAGATCAGGAGGATCACAGTTTGAAGCCAACCTGGGCAAATAGTTCCAGAGACCCTATCTTGAAAAACCCTTCACAAAAAAGGGCTGGCAGAGTGGCTCAAGTGGTAAGAGCACCTGCAGCATGAAATCCAGAGTTCAAACACACACACACACAGAGTTTCCTTTTAGGAAAATAACTGGTAAAAATTAAAACTAACCTGCTCAGAGTACTAAGATTTATTTTTCATATTTTTAAAAGTTCTTCAATAGTTGAGCATGCTGATTCATATCTATAATCCCAGCACTCGGGAGGCAGAGGCAGGAGAGTTTGAGATCAAGAGTTTGAGGCCTGCCTGGGCTGTAGATATTGTCTCAAAAAACCAAGGAGTGGGGAGGGAGTAGCTCAGTGATAGAGTGTGGGAAGTGGATTATGAGAAGCCTATGAGAACCTGACATAAGCACAGTTGTACTCAATGATCTACAGGCTGAGTTTGGCACAGCACCAGCCACAGAAGAGAGTGAGAAGGCAAAATGAGGCACAGCTGCTTTCCTAAGTTGTTTACGATCAGAGAAGTGGTTTTTCTTGTTACAATGAGGGCTGGCAGAGTGGCTCAAGTGGTAAAGTGCCTGCCTAGCAAGTATGAGACCCTGAGTTCAAACCCCAGTATAGCAAAAAAGGAAAAAGAAAAATCACTCCTGTTACAATGACACCCCTCCCCTAGAACTGTTGCTCCACCTCCTTGTTTACCACTGGATATAAAAGACTTGCTGAAGGGGGGTGGGTTTGATGGGGGATTTTGATTGGCTGCCACTGATGCTGCTGCTGGCTATCAGGTCTCACCAGAGTAGCTTTCTACACTGAGAACTTTATACATAGGTTTTAGAAACGCTAAGCTAAAAAAAAAAGAAAGAAAAGCTAAAGAGAACAAGGGACAGCACAAGTCTAAGGACCAAGACATTAAGAGTTATGCTAATGCAGTTTTTAGAAGTGGCTACTGTTGCTTGTCTGCAAGTCTGAGCACAGGAGACTTTAAGAAAGAACATGGGACAATGCAAAGACTATGAGAGATTAAAACATGGGACAGTGTGAGTCTAAGGAAACAGACTTTAAAGAATAGAAAAGAGGAAAGATTTTTAAAGAAGACTTTAGAAGCAAAGTTTTAAAGATAGAGAAAAGAAGCAGAGTAAAGAGAAGACAAGTAAAAAAACCAGTAAGACTGTTGTGTGTCTCCATCTGAGTGCCCAGCACACCTGATCCCAGCTTTATGCATGTCTGTCTTCTATCATTTGTCCTTTCTGAGCCCCCAGTTAGGTCAGGAAGAACAGGAGTGAGAGAAAGCTCGCTACAATAGGGCATTTGCCTAGCATGAACAAGACCCTGGACTCAACCCCAAGAAAAGAATTTTAAAAAGGAAAGAAAGGAAGAAATAGTTCTTTAATGTTACAGACATATGGTTTTCAAAACAACTTTCTAAAAGAAGTCCCAAATTCAACAGTTATCTTGCTTGAGATCACAGTGGAAGCAAACTTTAAAACAATGAAAACATACGGGTACCAGAGGCTCACGCCTATAATCCTAGCTACTCAGGAGGCAGAGATCAGGAGGATTGCAGCTTGAAGCCAGTCCAGGCAAAGTTTCTGAGACCCTATCTTGAAAAACCTTATCACAAAAATAGGGCTGGTGGAGTGGCTCAAGGTGAAGGCCCCCAGTACCACCACTAAAAACATAAAAATGCTACGAGTCATCACTGGTACCTCTTCTCACCAAAACCAGTTCGTTGGATACAAGGGCCCACAGGTAGCAAAGCGTAGGGTGGTGAAGTAAGACACAGGGCAGGGAACTGCTGGGCATTGCCAAGGAACTTGAAGACCTGAGGGCCACTTGAAATCTGAAACGGCGATGGTGTGTTCTTTACAAAACTGAATTTTCTTTATGTACCTCTCTTTGTACTCAAAGAGTAACTCTGAATCCTGATGAAAACAGAGAACAGCAACTGAGTGCGTGGCATGGGGCAGGGCTCTTCACAAGATAAACAGGTCTCTTCTCGGAGCATCTCCTTGTGTAACTAGGTCACATAAAACCTTCTTCTACATTATGATTAAGACCTTATTATAGAGAGGAATACAAATGTTTAATGACTTCACCACTAAACAAAAACTTCTAAGGAAACTTAGGTTTATGGCAGGTTGCTGGACCATGACCCCACACCTTCCGAGCATAAGCACATCATGGGATGCCATTCTAGAAAAGATTAAGAAGCTCTGCTACCACCAGGAAGCTGGGCTAGAAAGAGAGACAAAGCTAACTAGAATCCAGGCTCTGCCATTGCTAGATATGTGACCATGCACAAGAGGCAGAGCCACATTGGCTCGTCTTTAAAAGACTGCAGATATGTTACAGAACGAGAAATGAACTTGGTCCACAAAAACACTGTATTGAGTTTTATCTACTGTGTTGGTTTCTGCCTACCCAGCATCAATTATTTTGACACCGCAACTAAACTTTCTTTTAGAAACTGCCTCTTATCTTTAATACTCTTGGTTCAAGTGACATTGAGCCCAGCATACCTCAAAAGGTGGCATATGAACCAGGTCCACCTACTCGGAGATCTCACTGTGGCTGGCAATGAATGGCCCCAAGTCTAAGGCCTAGGACAGTACCTTCCACTGCAGCTCCTGAGTTCTCAGACTCTAAAGCATGAGCTGCCTGTGGCTACCTCTGCATCTGGGTTTGAGAGTCTGCTAAGGAAAAAAGCCAGCATGGCTAGGCAAGGCTGGAAGCAGAAGACAGTCATGGATCTGTTAAAACCATCTGAGCTCTGAGACCCAGCCATGCCCAAACATAGCAGAAAAGAGAGTCAGTGAATTCTCCTTTGTGCTTAAAATAGTTTGAGCAAACGCAATTCATAGGTCGTTTGCCAGAGAAAGAATACTGACAATATAGTGTTCAGTCATACTTTTGATATAAGAAAGAGCCATTTAAATTATAATGAAGCTCTACTTCCTACCTATTACATCGGTGAACTCCCTTTCCGGTGTTACGATTCTGGTAAACCAATAAAAACTAGTCTTTCCACACCCTGCCTGCATGGTAGGAAATCTCCTATAAGCTAAAATGCATGTACCCAGTAAGCATTGCTGGTTACTGATGTCCACATAGAACAACTTGAGAGTCGGTGTCAGTGAAAGGTTTTGATTATACAGTGCTTGCAGTAGAATTAAAGTGGGGTCCTGGTATCTACCTCTTTATTTGATATTGCTGTGGAGTAAGGAGCATTCTACCCTCAACTAGAGAAAACCAAAGACAGCATTTGGAATAAATGTAACACAATTTCACTCATTCTTGATCTTACTCTAGGGACAACCCCTTCAATCTAGTCAAAGTGAATTCCTTTCCTAATAAACTATGCTATCACTTTCAATGCAAAGGGAAAAAAAATGATACAATCTCACCATCTCATTCTGGAACTAGCTGCAACAGATAACTTGGCCTATAGATCAATTCTTGTCAGTCATTCATTTATTCAGCAACAAGGAAAAAAAAAAAACAAAACTTTTTGAGACAGGCTCCTCCTATGTAGTCCAGGTTGGCCTGGAACTCAAGATCTTCTTGCCTCAACCTCCAAGTGCTGGGATTATAGATGTAAATCACCATACCTAGCTTTCAGTAAATATTTTTATGCATCTTCTATGTGCCATGTCCCATTCTAGGTACTAAGAACACAGCGATGAATAGAAGGGAAAAATTACTGATTTCACAAAGCTTCCATTCCACTGGGGAGGATTAGTCAGAGGTAGCAAACAAGGAACAAATAGACAAATATACAAGATAATTTCTGATTGTAAATGCTGTGAAGAGATAATGCACGTAGTTATTATGGAATTATTAACTATTATAAAACAATAAAGCCAGGCATCAGTGGCTCACACCTGTAATTCTAGCTACTCAGGAGGCAGAGATCGGGAGGATCATTGTTCAAGGCCAGCCAGGGCAAAAAAAAAAAAAGTGAGACCCTATCTCAAAAATATCCAACACAAAAAAGGGCTGCAAAGTGGCTCAAGTGGTAGAGCACCTATCTAGCAAGCATGAGACACTGAGGTCAAACCCCAGTATTACCAAAAAATAAGTAAATAAAATAAAACAAGATAAAGATTAATTAACCATGGAAAATGATATAATAAAGCACAGTAATTGTGGTGGGGCTATGTTAAAATGGAACAGTCAAGGAATGACAGTAACAACAACCCACACTTAAATGACACTGCTATGTACTAGCCCTGTTCTGAGTCACCCGAGATGTCACATTTTACAGATGCAGAACAGTTCTGGAGAAACTGAGCAACTTGCCACCAGATCACAACTAAGAGGAGGTAAAGGCAATTTGAGCCCAGGTGTCCAGCTGTAGCACACATGCTTTTAAGCACTAAGGAGAGATCCGAATGCAGACCTGAATGGTGAGAGGTATCAGCTGCTCAAAGCAGCAATGCAAGCAGCCTGAGCACAGGCCCAGAGCAAAAATGAGCCTATCCTCTCAAGACCACCAGGACCCAGGTAGGACAGTGCTGTAGGTAAAGGGTGAGGTAAGAAAAACATGGTGGGATCACATCTGATGGGACCTGACATGCCATGCTGAGGAACTTGAGTTTGCCGGGAGAATTTGCCAGGCTGCAGCTCAATTACTCCTCAGCTAGCCACTATCTGAGACAAGTAGACCTTGCCATTAAACTGGCTTGTAAATAAATTCTACACAAGTTTCCTCATTGAATGCATTAAATTCATCATTAAAAAAAAAAAGTTTAAGTTTCCCATAATACTCCAAGAAAAAAACTGCCTCCACACTGGTAAACATGAGACAAAGAGCCATGAGGGAACCCTAGAATAAAGAAAGGAGCCTAAGTCAAGGGAGAAGCAACAATGGTGAATGCACTTGAAGGCACAGGCCTTGGGGTTCCTCCTGGTGGACGAACCCATACCACAGACCATCACCTAAGCCAATGCAAGCAGGCCAGGCTCAGTCAGGGTGAGATCAAAGCCAAGATGTGCCAGTGGCTTGATCTTGAGCAAGCTATTTAACTGTATGCCTGCAGAATGGTGATGCTCTCACAGCTGTGGTGAGGATCACACCAGGCCATCACTGGGAGGTGTTTACACAGTGCCTGGCACAGACCTGGGGTAAATGTGACATCAAACATAAGCATGTACAAATAAAGTTTAATGTTGGGCAAACTAGATTCCCAAAGTCTAAAGTGGTTGTGCAATTTTAGCATGGGAAAACCTGCAGGGCTTAACAAAACTTGGCACATGGCCACCCCACCCCTCTAACTTGGTAGTTCCAGGAAGATCTGAAAATGTGACTTCTAACAAGTTCCAAGAGGACACTGATGCTGCTGGGTATACACTCAGAGGACTACTTCTCTAAGTCAGTGATGTGCAAGCGATCACCTGTAGAGCCTTGAAAACCCTGTGCCAAGGCCACATGTGGAGATGCTGATGAAGCAGAGAGGTATGGATTGGGTGCAGAGACCTTTGCTGGGGGGGGGGGCTCTATTTTTGGCTCTAGAACACCACAAATGAATCTAACACAGGTCTGAGTAGGGTCTCAGATCCTAAATAAATAAATAGCACAAAACCTGCATGCGGACGTGCAACGTAAGCACGGCTAGCCTGAGGCCATCAAAGCTTCTTCTCATTATTGCGCCTGGGCAGCATGGGCAGCAAACTCACCCGGATACTCTGCCGATGCCTGTGATGATGCCGCCTGAGGGGACTTCCTCATCACCATACAACTGGTACCCCGCGAACTGGGATAACTCCAGAAAGGGGGACCTGAAAGAAGGAACGGATGTTGTCTGATGTCATTAAATACACACACACATATATATATACATATAAAAAAGGGAAGATTTTTTTAAATGGGTCAATGTTTCAGTTTCAAATATGCGTGTTGTATTATAAAATATACCAAAAGACTAAACCAAAATCTGATGTCACTGTTTTAAGAATTTATATGATAAAGTCACACAACAGAACATGATGTATAATCTTTTTTTTTTTTTTGAAGTGCTGTACAAATGTTTTTATTTTTTCCCTTTTTTTTTCTTTTATTATTCATATGTGCATACAAGGCTTGGGTTTTTTGTTTGTTTGTTTTTTGGTTTTTTTTTTTCCCTTTTTTGGGGGCAATAATACTAGGGACTGAGCATGGCCTTGCACTTGCTAGGCAGGTGCTCTAGCACTTGAGCCACTGCTAGTCAAACATGTTTATTATTATGCAAAGAGAGTAACAGCTAATATCTACATGGCCTTACTCAACAGCTCTCTTGTAGGGCTTCTAAACGCTACCTCATTTACTAACGAGGAAAATGAAACACACAGTTGAAGAAACTTGACTTAAGGCACACAACTAGTAATCAGCTGAGCTGGGACTTTAATAAGCAATCTTGTCCCACAGACCGGGCTCTCAACCTCCACTGTGTTGCTCCACCTCTCACTGATGCACGTGTTTGAGATGCATTGAGTGGGGCAAAGGAAGTTGTGGAACACCACATTTGGTGTTGATTACATTTTTGGATTTTTGGAAATGTAGATGCCTGATACATACATGCATAAAAATGGTAAAGGAAGGTGTGCACTGGTGTTAACTATGACTGTCTCCAGGAGGGATGTAAGGGCATGCCATCATCATTTCCTCCCCCTCCCCGGCCCTCCATGCCCAATCCCTCAGGAAACCCTGTTGGATTGGCTCTGACTGCAGACAAAACCTGCCACTCTCACCTCCTCCACCACTTGTACCCTTGTCCGAGACCCTAGCATGTCTCCTGCAAATCCTCTAACTGGTCTCCATGCTCCCACCCCTGCTGCCCACAGTCCGCTCACAGCATAGCAGCCAGAACAGTAACTCTTAAAATATAGCCATCTGTCATTTAATGACAGGGATATGTCCAGAACGTGGATTCTATGAAGTGATTTTGTCATTTACAAATATCACAGACTGTACGAACACAAACTAAGATGGCTAAAATGTCACTGGACAACATAATCTTATAATTAATATAATCACTATAAACATCGTCATGCAACACATGACTTTAAATCAGACAGATCATAAAAGTCTCCTGTTCAAAACTTATAGGAGATTCCCATTTTTCTGAGGGTAAGAATCAAAACTTTTACAATGGACTACAGGGCCGTCTGGAATCTGACCCCCATCTCCTACTACTCTCCCCTCCATTCCAACCACACTGGCCTCTCGGCCACCACTTGAGTGTATCTGCATACCTAGCACACTCCCACCATGGGGCCTTTCCATGTCTGTTTCGTCTGCCTGTGACAGTTTTCCCAGCTATTTACAGGGCTGCCCTTCTTCCCTCCTTCACATCTTTGCTAAAATGTCACCTTCTCAATAAGGCATGAACCACCACCCTACTTAAAACTACAACTTGCCTGACAGCATCCTCTCCCTTACCCTGGTGCACCTTACCTTTTCTTTTCATGACAACTGTCACCTAAGCATACTGTAAAATTTTAAGATAGTCATTGTTTATTTTCTATTCTCCCAACATAATGTAAACACCAGTAGAGTGAAGATCTGTGTCTATTATGTTCCCTGATGTATCACTGGTGCACAAAACAGTGCCTGGCACATAGTAGGCTCTCAATAAGTGTGTGTTGTATGATCTTTCAATAAGAACAAACTTCAAAACCATCAGCTTACAAAACTGTTTACCGTGGAACAGAGAACATTGAGTGAGCACTTGGGTAGGTACCAACCCTGGGTCTATAAGGTTGTCGATTCTTTCTCTGGCTAACAGCTTTCCTCTTGCTGTATGAAGTGCGCGGGCTTTCTCACTACCTCCTACAATAAAAACATGATTAAATTAGATCAGATTGACACAAGATAAGGTCTCTACTTCTTAAGGACAAAAACATAGAACAATTTTCAAAAGTTCAATGCCTCCTGTGAGAAACAGCTATTTTTCAGATCTTCCAATCAACTTACCCACTATCAATTTTCTGAAGTCAATAAAGAAACTGGGTTTTTAAAACAATCAATCATCCCTGATCTTTAAATACATCATATGTGTTCTGAATTCACTAGTAATAATCTAAAGAAATTACATAATATTTTCTCTGCAACTCATACATTGCAAAATTGTCTTGATGCCAAGATTATTACTAAACGCCTACCCTGCATCTAGCATTGAATTACATGCTATATAATATTTGAAAATTCCTATTTTTATTTGGAAATAAGCCTAGTTTTAGGAAAAAGCCTAATTTTAGGGCCAGATGTGGCCTAAGTGGTAAAGTGCCTGGTGTAGCTGGAAAATAACTGACCACCAAGCAAAGCTATCCAAAAACTAAAGGAATTCATGGCTCCTAAACCAGCACTGCAGAAGATACTTAAAGGAATCCTACACACAGAAGGGGAAGATAACACAATGGTGAAAACATGGAAGAGAATAAATCTCACTAGATGAGTAGATAAGTAGAGCCAAAAAATGACATTTATACTTATGCTCAATTTATTATTATAATTATTATTTACCTTATGTTTGCAGTGCTAGGAATTGAACCCTGGCACACATCAGGCAAGTGTCATACCACTAAGCTACATACCCAGCACTTTTTTTTTTTTTTTTTTTTTTTGTAGTACTGGGGATCAAACCCAGGGCCTTGTTCATGCTAGGCAAATACTCAAACACTGAGCTACATTCTCCAGCCCCATAGGCCACAATTTTTTTTAAGGTGAAAATATTTTGACAAGTTCTTTTGTAACTGCTTAGACCCAACTTTCTTTTCCTGAAAAGGAAAAAGAAAAATACATTCTTCCTAAGGATTTTTACATTTGTTTAGTTTTACAATGTAGTTGTAAATTGTGAGAATGGACATTTTACAACAAAATATAGTTTGATATTGGCAAGTGAACTGGCTTCCAAACTAAAATCTGATAGATAATAAGTATGATGATGATATGATAATGTGGCTAAGAGTAAAGAATTTTCCTATCTTTATCCTTATGTGCAATATTAATAATGATTTTGCAGGTAGGGCTTCTGTGTGTGTGTGTGTGTGGTACTGGGGTTTGAACTCAGGGCTTGCTAGACAGGCACTTTACCACTTAAGCCACTCCACCAGCCTTATTTTGTGTTGGGTATTTTTGAGATGGTCTCTCGAACATCCGCCCAGGCTGACTTCGAACCTAGATCCTCCTAATCTCTGCCTCCTGGGTAGTCAGTATTACAGGCGTGAGCCACTGGTGCCTGGCTCGGCATGTGGTACGCTAAGACAATTTTATGATACTGTCTTTCCACAGTTTATTAGATTCAATGCATTGTTGATCTAAGTCCTAAATGACAAATCACTGCTATATCCTGCTTCTACTATGGGCATCACTGGAAGTATGGAGTATGTGTGGAATTTGTCTTCCCTCTGAAAATGTCTTCAAAAAGCTAACCAAAGCCTTATGTTTAGGTCATTAAAAGCCCCTTGCTTCCACCACCAAAACTGTTTTTTTATGTCCAAGTTATTAGCCAGGATAAAAACAAAGCACTTCTGAATTTATCAAAACACTTACTACAGTCCTTCAATTAACTTGTGTTAATCAAAACCTTAACTCTAACTATTATGAATATCACCGCAGGGGTAATCCTTTTTCCACCTACAGAAACGACTAGCTCACACCTTGTGCAATCCTATGTGTTCAAACAGGGACAAAGGGGAGATCAAAGATAGTAAAGCACTACAAGAAACCTGGAACAAAGGCAGAGACAAGACAGAACAGAAATACCAGGAAAGGGGGCAAGAGCCACCTAATTTTTGTCAACCTACTTGTTGATCCAAGTTCTCTCTAGTGAAAAACTTCCAGGGTTATGAAACAACCTGCCCTTTCCTGATGTCTGAAAATTATCCAGGAAACTGCATGAATTTAGAAGTCAGGATATCTTAGCTAGGCACCAGTGGCTCACACCTGTAATCCAAGCTACACACAAGGCAGAGATTAGGAGGATCACGCTTCAAAGCCAGCCCTGGGCAAGTGATTTTCAAAATCCTATCTTGAAAATACCCACCACAAAAAAGGGCTGGCAGAGTGGCTCAAGTTGTAGAACTGCCTGCCTGGCAAGCATAAGGCCTTGAGTTCAAATCCCAGTATCACCTTAGAAAAGTCAGAATGCCTAAATTCATCAGTGACAGGAGGGGAAAAAAGAGGAAAATGAGTAGTCCTCCTTAACTCAATACAATCATCACAATCATTGCTGAGCCAGGCTCCAAATATTCACAAAGCAAAATCACAGGAAAAAAATGCCCAGAGCAAGGTGTACAAATCTCCCAAGCAAAACAAATAGCAACAACAAAACGTACAAACACACATGAGATTGCCCCAAGGTGCATCAAAAAATGTACATTCAGGGCTGTGAGTGTAGCTCAAGTGGTAGAAGCCTGCCTAGCAAGCATAACGCCATGGGTTCAATCCCTAGGACCACAAAAAAAAAAAAAAAGTATATTTAGAAAGATGATTTATGAGTGATTTTTTTCATCTTGATTCTTCTCCACTTTCCAAAATTTCTCTATTAATATAATTGAATTTGTAGCTGATTTGAATTAATTTGCATGTTTATACAATGTCCACTTACAATATCCATGTCTGTGGCACAATTTTAGGCAAACTGCAAAGGCCAAGATGGCCCGTGCCGCCTCACCTGCAGGGGGCAGTCCTCTCCTCTGACAACCAGCCTTCCCCCACGGGTCATCAGAATCCAATGAGCTAAGCAGGTGCTCAATGCTACAGGATTTTTGACACCTCCTGATTCAAATCCATCCATAGTAATGTCCCAGGGGAACAGTCAGCCTATCGAATCAAACTGTGATGATGGCCAAAACTATGGAGTAACCAGAACGAAATGGACTGGAGGTGTGGCTCTAGTGGTAGAGCGTCTGCTTTGCAAACACGAAGCCCTGAGTTCAAACCCCAATCCCCCTCAAAAAAATTTTAAAACATCATGTGGCCTTCTAAAGTAAAAATGCACATGTCATAATGGTACAACAGAATACTGCATCCCACCATACCGTGTCGTATGTCCCTTTCTTTTTTTGGCAAGGACTGGGCTTTGAACTCAGGGCCTTGTGCTTACTAGGCAGGCACTCTACCACTGAACCATGGCCCCAGCTCTGGAATGTCCCTTTCTATCACATAATTTCCTCCAAGCAAATGAATGCCTTTTATGCCCACAATTTTAAGTTAAGAAATAATGGTGATTTGCAAAGTTTTTGGAAATCTCACTTATTCAGTAGCAATAAACCTGTCAGAAAATATTTCCAAGCTATGTAGCACAGCAGAAAATGTAACTATGCAAAGCTAACATAAAGGATAAATATGACTAGTGAACAGAAAATGTTTAGTCATTTAAAAAGTGAAACAAGTATTTCAGTACAATACTCTGAGTGGAAGAAAAAAACCTTAACAAATAACAGTTAAAAAGTGAAGAATCTGGATCTTTACTTTTCCCCCATAAGTGGCCATGCTCTATGAGCAGAAAACGACCAAGTACACCAGGCCTTCCCTATCCTCAGATTCAACCAACTGAGCATCAAAAAATATTCATTAAAAAATTCTAACTATACTAAGAGGAAAGAAAGGACTTTTTTCTTGTCATTATTCCCAATATGATATAGTCTAACAACTACATATAGTATAACCTAGCATTTATGCTCTATTAGGTGTTATGTCATCTAGACATGATTTAAAGTATACAGGAGAATGTGTGTAGTCCAGTTTATATAAGGGACTTGAGCATCTGTGATTTTGGTATCTTTGGGGTCTTGGAACCAATCCCCCCAGATACTGAGGGTGAACTGTAATAGGTAAAAGTAAAATAAAATGTCTGCACCCTAACAAATGCATAATTAGTCTAAAGTCAAAAGCTTAATGCTACTATTTTTTCCTAAAAGCAGACACTATAAGGGAACATTTTAATTAAAAGCATAAACTAAGTTGGGTGCCGGCATCTCACGCTTATAATCCTAGCTACTCAGTATTGAGGTTCGAAGCCAGTCACTGGCAAATAGTATGTGAGACCCTACATTGAAAAAAAATAAAGAAAAACCATCATGAAAAAAAAGGCTGGTGGACTGGCTCAAGTGGTAAAAGTACCTACCTAGCAAGCATGAGATTCTGAGTTCAAGCTTCTCTACTCAGAAGCTTCTAGACATCATCAATAGCTATAGCAAGGTAGCAGGATATAAAATCAACATAGAAAAATCATTAGCATTTCTATACACTAACAATGAGCAAACGGAAAAAGAATGTATGAAAACAATTCCATTTACAATAGCCTCAAAAAAATCAAATACTAGGTGTAAACCTAACAAAAGATGTGAAAGACCTCTACAAGGAAAACTATACACTTCTGAAGAAAGAGATTGAGGAAGACTATAGAAAGTGGAGAGATCTCCCATGCTCATGGATTGGTAGAATCAACATAGTAAAAATGTCGATACTCCTCAAAGTAATCTACATGTTTAATGCAATTCCCATCAAAATTCCAATGACATTCATTAAAGAGATTGAAAAATCTACTGTGAAATTTATATGGAAACAAGAGGCCACGAATAGCCAAGGCAATACTCAGTCAAAAGAACAATGCAGGAGGTATCACAATACCTGACTTCAAACTATATTACAAAGCAATAACAATAAAACAGCATGGTACTGGCACAAAACAGACATGAAGACCAGTGGAACAGAATAGAGGACCAGATATGAAGCCACACAACTATAGCAACTTATCTTTGACAAAGGAGCTAAAATATACGATGGAGAAATAGCAGCCTCTTCAACAAAAACTGCTGGGAAAACTGGTTAGCAGTCTGCAAAAACTGAAACTAGATCCATGTATATCACCCTATACCAAGATTAACTCAAAATGGATCAAGGATCTTAATATCAGACCCCAAACTCTTAAGTTGATACAGAAAGAGTAGGAAATACTCTGGAGTTAGTAGGTATAGGTAAGAACTTTCTCAATGAAACCCCAGCAGCACAGCAACTAAGAGATAGCATAGATAAATGGGACCTCATAAAACTAAAAAGCTTCTGTTCATCAAAAGAAATGGTCTCTAAACTGAAGAGAACACCCACAGAGTGGGAGAAAATATTTGCCAATATACATCAGACAAAGGACTGATAACCAGAATATACAGGGAACTTAAAAAACTAAATTCTCCCAAAACTAATGAACCAATAAAGAAATGGGCAAGTGAACTAAACAGAACTTTCTCAAAAGAAGAAATTCAAATGGCCAAAAACACATGAAAAATGCTCACCATCTCTAGCAATAAAGGAAATGCAAATTAAAACCACACTAAGATTCCACCTCACCCCTGTTAGAATAGCCATCATCAGCAACACCACCAACAACAGGTGTTGGCGAGGATGCGGGGAAAAAGGAACCCTCTTACACTGTTGGTGGGAATGTAGACTAGTACAACCACTCTGGAAAAAAATTTGGAGGCTACTTAAAAAGCTGGACATCGATCTACCATTTGATCCAGCAATACCACTCTTGGGATATACCCAAAAGACTGTTACTCCAGAGGCACCTGCACATCCATGTTTATTGCGGCACTATTCACAATAGCCAAGTTATGGAAACAGCCAAGATGCCCAGCACTGACGAATGGATTAAGAAAATGTGGTATCTATACACAATGGAATTTTATGCAGCCATGAAGAAGAACGAAATGTTATCATTCGCTGGTAAATGGATGGAATTGGAGAACATCATTCTGAGTGAGGTTAGCCTGGCCAAAAGACCAAAAATCGTATGTTCTCCCTCATATGTGGACATTAGATCAAGGGCAAACACAACAAGGGGATTGGACTATGAGCACATGATAAAAGCGAGAGCACACAAGGGAGGGGTGAGGATAGGTAAGACACCTAAAAAACTAGCTAGCATTTGTTGCCCTTAATGCAGAGAAACTAAAGCAGATACCTTAAAGCAACTGAGGCCAATAGGAAAAGGGGACAGGAACTAGAGAAAAGGTTAGATCAAAAAGAATTAACCTAGAAGGTAACACCACGCACAGGAAATCAATGTGAGTCAATGCCCTGTATAGCTATCCTTATCTCAACCAGCAAAAACCCTTGTTCCTTCCTATTATTGCTTATACTCTCTCTACAACAAAATTAGATAAGGGCAAAATAGTTTCTGCTGGGTATTGAGGGGGGGAGGGGAGGGGGGGAGTGGGTGGTAAGGGAGGGGGTGGGGGCAGGGGGGAGAAATGAACCAAGCCTTGTATGCACATATGAATAATAAAAGAAAGATGGAAAAAAAAAAATAAAGAAAAACCATCATGAAAAAAAAGGCTGGTGGACTGGCTAAGTGGTAAAAGTACCTACCTAGCAAGCATGAGATTCTGAGTTCAAGCCCGAGTACCGCAAAAAAAAAAAAAAAAAAAAAAAAAGCATAAAGTGAAGAAAAGACTGTGCTCACCTAGTCGTACATACTGTGCTCGTTCATGGAGTTGATTTACTAGCGCTTTCATCTGCTCATAGTTCTCCTAAAATGGAAACAAAGAGGGCGTGGATAGAAATATTAGAAAGCAATTATTACCAAGATAAGGGTCAAGAAACACCTCAAGGGCTGTGAATGTAGTTTGTCATGGAGCACTTGCCTAGCATGTACAAGGACCTGGGTTCCACCCCCAGCACTGAAAGACAGAAAAGAAAGAAGGGAAGGAGAAGGGAAAGGAGAAAGAGAACGGAAGGGCAGGGAAGAGAGAAAAAGAAAGAACAAGGAAAAGAAAGGAAGGTTAAAGGGAGGAAGAACACACCAAATCCTGGCAACTCTGTGTGCCCACCACATGAGGCCACCCTACCACGCGGCCTCCAGATCGGGCTGTTTCATCCTGTAGAAAAGACTGGCTCCTGTCCCTCGTGACCACCACCCCCTCAGGTCCTTTTCTCCGAATTTCACCCCTCTTCTAAAGCCTGATTCATGTTCCACCTCACCTCAACGCCACTGGGGCTGCTCCTGCTCACTTTAACACTTCTCTTCCTTAAGCAGCTACTGGACTTAATCACCTCTGTTTGTTTTCCCATTTTAAGGAATACACACTTGTTAAAGAGGTAGAATGCCATCTTAACTGCCCTGTCTCTATCCTGAGATGCCAATCAATCAATATATCAGTATTTTGTTCCACCTCACCTCAACGCCACTGGGCTGCCTCCTGCTCTACTTTACACTTCTCTGCCTGAAGCAGCTACTGACTTTTAATCACCTCTGTTTGTTTTCCCATTTTAAGGAATACACACTTGTTAAAGAGGTAGAATGCCATCTTAACTGCCCTGTCTCTATCCTGAGATGCCAATCAATCAATATATCAGTATTTGCTCACTGATAAGTTATACTTTAAAATCAAACCCCTCTCCCCACAAAGTACATTCTATTTCATGTTTAAAACAGAACAAAAATCTATGCTTACATTGTTACAAATTTTCTGAGTGATACACAAGAAAATATTAGCAGTGAGAGGCAAAAAAAAAGGGGGGGAGAGGCCTCAGCTCACTTTTCCATCTCCTATAGGGCAATACTTATATAGCCAATTATTTTTGAAACTTCAGTGTTTGCCCTACTAACATATTTTGCATATAATGTGATTGACATATCTAGCTATCTCATGCCCTTTATGTGACAGAATGTTAAACAACTTGTTAAACAATTTCATTCACAACTAGACTTTAGTATTTCCTATTTTCTACAGCCCAAGAACTCTACTACATTCTCCTGTTCTACAAAATTCAGAAAATAAATTTAAAAAGAGAGAAGCAGCATCGAATGAGGGAAAGACCCTGTGCCCCGGAGTAGCGAGAGCTCCTCCTCTGAGCACTCTCCATCTGATGGCCCTGGGGGCTGCTTGTCTTCTGATCCTACAGAAAGGGGCCTGCTGGGAACTCAGCTCAAGGAGCTGCCTGGAACAGGGATGCCCCACCTGGGTTCTACTAGGGAGCCACTGGGGAGCTTGTAAAAAAGCAATACAAGAACAAAAAATTACATGAGATGCCTGGGTCCTTCTCCTCCAGAAAAGATCCTCCTCACCCATCAGAGAGACTCTTCAAATTTCCTCAGGCCTGGCCAAGTTGCTCAGCCTGTAATCCCAGCTACATCAGAGATGCAAGAGTATTTTGGTTAGTGGGTGATGTGGAGGGCAGTGAATTTCCCCATCTCAATCACTAAGCCAGACATGATAGTACACACCTGTCATCCCAGCTATGCAGGAGGCCCTAAGTAGGAGGATCACAATCCAGGCTGGCCCAGGCAAGAATGTAAGACACTATCTAAAAAATAAAGCAAAAAAGTGCTGGGGGAGTGGCTCAAGTGGTAGAGCACTTGCCCAGCAAACATGAGGCTCTGAGTTCAAACCCCAGTACCAATGAAAAAGAAGAAAGCTTCCTCAGTGATTCTAACTTTGAAAACCAAACAAAGTAACACCCTTTGGCCTCTATCTCCATTTCTGAGGTGCTACTTGGGCAAATGGAACCTACCAAAGAGAAGAGTTTGGTAAAATCCTCTTCTTTCCACACAACTTTTCCAGCTCATCATATTTGTCGATATTAACAAGAGGTAGCAAAAGCCAAGAATTTTTCTCTATTAGTATAAAACCCAGGAGATGAAATCCCTTTTATCCACACATGGCAAATGCAGAAACTCCTCAATTTGTGCAACATCAGCCCCAGGGCTTGTCTGTCCAGCCAGTAGCAACAGCATGCATACTGTCACCTGAAAAGTATGCAGGGGCTTGGAGCTGCCTTTCAGATCCCTCTGCAATGGGGGCCTGCCGGGGTGGAGACCACTCCTTGTAAGTGGGCATAAACCAAACAGTGGCAGAGAAGGGCTCAGGTTTGTGGATCCAGGGGTGTCTCCAAATCTGCCTCCAAGTGACATCTTCTTTTGAGGCTCTTTGACCATGAGCCTGGGCTACAGCCACCACACTGCAGCTCAGGGACTAGTACCCTACTTGACCTCAGCTCCTCAGTTCCCCGTGCACATTTGCAAAGCAGGCACTCTACTGCTTGAGCCACCTCCAGTCCATTTTGCTCTGGTTATTCTAGAGGTAGTAATCACGTGAATATTTACCCAGGTTGGCCTCCAGCAGAGACCCTCCCAATCTCAGCTGCACAAGTAGCTAGAATGACAGGCAGGAGCGCAAGCGGAGGCCGCCCCATGCATTGAACTTATTCATCACCTTTCAACAGGCAGGTGAGTACTGACATGACACTGCTAAGCGGAGAGGAAGTGCAGGTTTATTTCACTTCTTCAGGTCTTCTCTTGTCATCTCTACACTCACTGCAGGGTGAAAAGCCCACCTAATTAATCATCTGAGTGTTTCAAAAGCCTTGATCTAATTTAAGCATCCTTTTTCTTTTTTTTTATGTTTCTTATTTGCTATACTTTTTTTTTTCATTTTTCTTTTATTATTCATATGTGCATACAAGGCTTGGTTCATTTCTCCCCCCTGCCCCCACCCCCCTTCCCCTCCCCCCTCTAATACCAGCAGAAACTATTTTGCCCTTATCTCTAATTTTGTTGTAGAGAGAGTATAAGCAATAATAGGAAGGAACAAGGGGTTTTGCTGGTTGAGATAAGGATAGCTATACAGGGCATTGACTCACATTGATTTCCTGTGCGTGGGTGTTACCTTCTAGGTTAATTCTTTTTGATCTAACCTTTTCTCTAGTTCCTGGTCCCCTTTTCCTATTGGCCTCAGTTGCTTTAAGGTATCTGCTTTAGTTTCTCTGTTAAGGGCAACAAATGCTAGCTAATTTTTTAGGTGTCTTACCTATCCTCACCCCTCCCTTGTGTGCTCTCGCTTTTATCATGTGCTCAAAGTCCAATCCCCTTGTTGTGTTTGCCCTTGATCTAATGTCCACATATGAGGGAGAACATACGATTTTTGGTCTTTTGGGCCAGGCTAACCTCACTCAGAATGATGTTCTCCAATTCCATCCATTTACCAGCGAATGATAACATTTCGTTCTTCTTCATGGCTGCATAAAATTCCATTGTGTATAGATACCACATTTTCTTAATCCATTCGTCAGTGTGGGGCATCTTGGCTGTTTCCATAACTTGGCTATTGTGAATAGTGCCGCAATAAACATGGGTGTGCAGGTGCCTCTGAGTAACAGTCTTTTGGGTATATCCCCAAGAGTGGTATTGCTGGATCAAATGGTAGATCAATGTAGCTTTTTAAGTAGCCTCCAAATTTTTTTCCAGAGTGGTTGTACTAGTTACATTCCCACCAACAGTGTAAGAGGGTTCCTTTTTCCCCGCATCCTCGCCAACACCTGTTGTTGGTGGTGTTGATGATGGCTATTCTAACAGGGGTGAGGTGGAATCTTAGTGTGGTTTTAATTTGCATTTCCTTTATTGCTAGAGATGGTGAGCATTTTCTCATGTGTTTTCTGGCCATTTGAATTTCTTCTTTTGAGAAAGTTCTGTTTAGTTCACTTGCCCATTTCTTTATTGGTTCATTAGTTTTGGGAGAATTTAGTTTTTTAAGTTCCCTATATATTCTGGTTATCAGTCCTTTGTCTGATGTGTATGGCAAATATTTCTTCCCACTCTGTGGGTATTCTCTTCAGTTTAGAGACCATTTCTTTTGATGTACAGAAGCTTTTTAGTTTTATGAGGTCCCATTTATCTATGTTAAGCATCCTTTCTTAAATAGAGAGGGAAGGATGGAGAAAGGTTGGGGTCAACAGGTACTAAGGTTACAGTTAGATAAAAGAGAAGTTTTTGTCTTAGTATACAGTAGGCTGACTTTAGATAATAATGTACTGCATATTTCAAATACAGGATTTTTGTGTTTTCACAGAGATGAATAATGTGGGCTAGGGAAGTGGCTTAAGTAGTACAGCCCTTGCTTTGTAAGCTTGAGACCTGGAGTTCAATCCCCAGTATAGAAAAAGAAAAAAAAATACATTGTTAGGCTGGGTGGGATGGTATATGCCTGTAATCCCTAGCCCTGGGGAGGAGAGAATCACGAGTTTGAGACCAACCTGTCTGGGGCAGACACTGCTGGCTGCTTAGCCATAGCCATTCTTCCCACGTTAATGAACCCTACTTTTATTGAAGGTGGCAACAATACCCAACTAGAAAAAAAGTAACAGATCCTGGCCTCCTTTTGTAGACAGGTGTGACCATGTGACTAACTTTTAACCACTGAAATGTAGGCAAGCTGTTAAGTCTGACTTCTAGCAAGACTTCTTAAGAAGAAGACAAGGTGATGAGGTTGCTCCTTTCATTCTCCTTTGGAACGCAGATAAAACAGAGTCTGAGCGCCCTCTTATGTCATGAGGTAGCCTGTATTACTGGCTTCACATTCTTTCTTCTTTCCATCCTTGCCAAAGTTCACTGTTGAGAAAGCAGGGCTCCCCTTCCCACAGTTTTTGAGTCTGTCAACGGTCTTGCTTTGGCCAGTGGAATGTGGACAAAGTCACTGTATCAATTCTAAGCAGATGCCTTAAGAGGGAGCAAGGGTTTCTAGACTCTCATGTG